AATAATAATAATAATAATAATAATAATAATAATAATAATAATAATAATAATAATAATCATAATCATAATCATAATAATAATAATAATAATAATAATAATAATAATAATAAGCACAGGTATATAAGTATATTATTATTATTATTATTATTATTAATCCAATTAATCCAATAGCAACAAACCTGAAAGATGCTTTGGCGAAGAAAGGATCGCAGGCAAGAAGGCCGGAGCTATTGAAGTAGTAACCGCCGCTGGGCAAAACAAGACTTCCAAAGACCGCAACACTGGCGATCCAAGTGGTAGACATCACTGCCATACACCCCTGACGCATGTAATACTGCAAAGAAATATCATATTTCAATAAATATCAGGAATTTTTATTCTCTACTAGGAAAAACTCATTTTTCAGGGTTCAATGGAATCGGTAGGCCATGAAAACCTTAAGATTGATGGCAGGGCTCTGTGTCACTGGTGCTGGAACATGAAAATGTGAGTGGGAAGATGATGTATTCGTATTTCCACCACTTTTCAATATTTTCTTTTGATCCATCCATCAATTTCATAATTTTTATCCATCGGTACCGATAGTCACGTCTCAATGAAGTTTTTAAATCGAGTCAATCCTTCAGTTTTTGTCCACAAAATTTCACCATTTGCACTACAAATTGCTGAGGTCAATTGATAATTTTAAATTATGGTGATAAAAATAGATCAAACCATACAAAAAGGAATTAATACAGTTACAGATCTATCTGGGGGCTTTAATGAGTCATTTGAATACGAAAATTTGACAGATATCGGTGCCTTCATCATTAATCCCAACAATTCACAATACAATCATGGATTCCATTGTAAATTGCTCCATTATTACAGTCTGATCGATGCCAAACCACAAAATACGATTCTCTCATCTGATTCCTCTCATGACTCCATGTTTTTTTTATTTCACTGATCATCACGGTTCATACAATATCGAAATTGGAATTATTTCTTAGTAATGGTCAAATAAAAAATATGAGGAATAAACCATGGACTTTCTTTAAGGCATATTATTGAATTTCCATTGGAATTCTATCAGAATTATATTAAAACGTTTTGATTTCCGCCTATTCTATTTGAAATTATGGAGACTCATGCTATTAAATAGATATTTGTCTATAGAAAAATGGATGAGTAGATGTATTTTTTTATGAATAAATGTTTATTTGAACTTTTGCAGTTGTTTTTGCAGATTTTTATAATATTATATTTTCAAACCCCAGGAGAATAGGTTCACAGAAAAATGCGTCTGTCTATCGATTTTTCTATAAAACGTATTTTCATGGGAGATTATCCTATTCTAAAAAGGACACGCTCGACACAATCGATTATCTCGAAAATCTCGAAATCATGAAGCCACGATTCCTTATTGGTCCGTTTAAAATGGCGCGAGATTACAAAGTTGTAACAGATTTTTCCTATTCTAAAAGGGACACGCTTGACACAATCGATTATCTCGAAAATCTCGAAATCATGAAGCCACGATTCCTTATTGGTCCGTTCAAAATGGCGCGAGATTACAAAGTTGTAACAGATTTTTACAGAAATCGTTTCATATCCGCGCGCTGGCGCGCGGTACGGATTCTCGTACATAAAAGAAAGACATGCTCAGGGTCTCAATCGCTCGGTAGGTGCCGCGTGAATATTATGCATATATTAAATTGAGTACAGTTGAAATATTCAAATATTCCAACAAATCCCTTAAAATCATTTGAAGTCACTTGAAATGAATTATTCTGTGAAATCGTTTGAAATCACTTGAAAATCATGTGAAATTAACAATCATTGTGTCACAATATTTAATATTTAACAATGCAAAAACGACTACATGATCACTTCTCTGGTCAAATCGTAAAAGGATTTCTATAGATTCTCAATCGCAATTGAATACAATTTTCAATAGAAGTGGACTAGTGAGTGAAATTGAAGTTTTTAATCGAGAAAAAGCAAGGGAATCGGTGGATGTAAAAATAAATCGATTGCAGGACAGCCAGAATCGGCAAAATGCCGAAATATTCTTTTCCTTCTTCCTGGGATTCCCCGGATTTTCTCCCGAGGGATTTTATGGGGCTCGTTTACGCTTCTTTGAACATCTCAGCTACCTGATAGGAGGATCCTCGAGCATCAGCAGATTAACCAGCGATACTTCGCTCCTACCGCATTGTCTCTCCGTTCTCTCATTAAAAAGTGTCCCTCCGAGGGAGGAATGGTCCTCGTTAGAGGCCATTGTTGATGGATGATATGACTTGATATTGATAGCTAAATTGGAGATTCACCCCATGCAGACGTCACAACTCGCTGGTTCACCACCGCTGGGACATCCCATACCCCAAAACAGTTCAATTGACGCGTCCAACGGTTGTGTCACATGTGTCTGGGATTTTTTCCACCAATCAGTCAGTTGCAAAATATTTTATACGCGATACATCCCCTGCGAGAAATTCCTGTGAAATTTACTCCAGGCTTGTGTACAAAAAAAGTCATGTGGAAAAATAACGATTTTATTAATGAGAATTTTTGAAATCTTTGGTCATTTTTACTCATTGGCTTTTGGGAATAATTACCCCCGTTTTTCGTATTGAGGCAATATGTTGGGTATTTAAACAATTCTGAAAACTGATTTCCATAAATTTTCATGGAGTTATCGCTTTTCCAACGAAAATGCGATTTTTATGTTTTATCGAAATTTAAACTTTCATCCCATTTTTTCATATTTCCAGAGCAAATACAAAAAAGGGAATTCATACAATGGAATATTTATATACCGTTTTGAAGAGCTTTTTTTGTTTTTTGAAATGGCATCGGTCATTTGCTTTTTCCATTATTCACTGTTCACGGAAACAAATAAATACCTGAATCCAGTATATATATATTTTTTTATTTTATTTCTATATATATATTATACTTAAATCAAATATAAAATATACTTGATTCAAGTTTTTTCCGTGTTATGTTACATTCTAAAATTCAACGAAAACCAACAATATAATAATAATAATTAATAATTATCGTAGCCTTCAATATAATTTATGAAGATATATTATCCGCCTTTACAAAATTTTTCCCTTTTTTTTTATATTCGAAAAATACCCATATATTTCGTTTTCATGTACAAAAATAATATATGTAACAATGTATGTTTTCAAATAGCAAAATGGAGGCAAGGATTATATAAAAAATGTCTAATATTGAATTGTTTAATCAGCATATTAAACTAATTAGATTGAATTACACGGAAAGTACAGAGATAAATATTCAGTAAAAATTATGGAACTTTCATTATTATATATGTATTATATATGCATCGTAATACTTCACTGATAATTCGGATAAAATGACGGAGTGCCGCAGAAAAATTCCGTGACTCTAGCTAAAAATGACGTGAGACTTCCGTAAAATTTCCTGCAAGCTCATTTCGTTCCGTAATTACTGAAAAGACATGTAATTTTGATTGATTATATTTTTCATCCCAATTTCAACCAATCAAATGGTGGCATTTCTCGTCGCGTGGTACAAGTAAAACGGTTTTATTTCAGATTTTTTTCGAATATTTCCCTGTTTGTTGTTAAGCCGTGAAAATATCCGATAAACAATTTGTACGCGTTTCAAACCCCAAAACTGGTTGTAAAAATTGAAAATTGAGATTTCCTAATAAAACCGTTTTACTTATACCATATGCCGTGAAATACCACACATTTAATTGCTTGAAATTGGAATGAAAAAAATAATCCAGCCAAATACCCCTCGACCTTCAAAATTAACCGGGATATTACTACTGAATATTTCTCTCAAAAAATGCAATTTTCTACAGAAAATATTCGACTATAATAAAAATTCTCAAAAAGTGAAAGTCTATTGATTATTTCGGGAGCACGTTGTCATGCTATAAAAAAACTGCAGCAAAGTTTTCCAATAATCGACGGAAAACCAATAGAATTATCACTAGAAGGGCGATGGCATTTTTAGCGATTGGAAAAGTTTCGGTCAAAACGTGTTTCATGTGCCTCCCGTCCCTATTGCAAGCAGAATAGGTAATTCGACCTCACCGAATGTTCCATTCAGAATCAAAAAATCCCTCGAAACTTTGATATGTAACAACATCATACATGACTGCAGCATCCCGTGGACTGTGCCATCACAACCCACATAAAATCCAGGATTTCACCAGCGGAACCTCCGAAACATATTTTAACGTCGTTGCCAGTCGGCTGCCTCCTCTTCCCCAAAACACAGAGCGCATTATGGATAGGCAAATGCATAGATCCTGAGGGGGCGGCCAGGATCGCTGCTGTGGAAATGAAGGATCGACCTCTTCATTCCGAAACAGAAAAAATGGGGACCGACGATGAATGAAATCGGATCAACAGCCTGAACATTCGATTCGTCGAATAGTCAAATCTGACATCCGGAAAAAGTTTTACAAGACTTTAAATGTCTGGACTAGGAGTCAAGTGTCTGGTTTAGAAGTCTTGAACGCTCAATTGTGAACGTTTGAAAGGACTTGACACTTGTGGAATATCAAGTTGTGTCCGGAAGGGATTCACTTGAAGGATTGTACAATAAGAAGTTGGGACTTTTAGGACTTTTGGTCCTAAGTGGCGACTTTTGGTTAATCCGAGTTTCTAATAGATCTTGATTCTAGGTCTTGAAAATAATTTTGAACTAAGTCTTAATTTTCGGGAAGGTCTAGCTTCTAGAAGTCGCACGTTAAAGCTTTCAAGTCTTGACTTGAGACTTGAAAATCTCGACTTAATCTCTCAGTCTCTGATGAAGACTTCGTCTTCGAATATGTCATACAACATTGTCCAAACAGAAGTTTTCAAATAGCCTTGACGTTTCAAGTTTTTAAAGTCTTGAGTTGAAATTTTTGGAGAAGAAGAGGAGTTGACTCAAGACTTTTCAAAGTTCCGAGGCGAGACTTTCAAGAATGAAGAGATCTTGACTCAATATTTAATAAAGCGCAAGTTGTGACAACTACAAAATTTTGGGCGTTCCAAAAATCTGAAGTTGAAGTTTTCAAGTCTTGATTCGATACTTGAAAATATCGACTTGATTTCTAAATCTCAAATGAAGACTTCTCAAATACGTCATACGAGACTGTCCAAGCCGAAGTTGTCAAGTAGCCTTGACGTTTCAAGTTTTTAAAGTCTTGAGTTGAAATTTTTGGAAATGAAGAGGAGTTGACTCAAGACTTCTCAAAGTCTCGAGTTGAGACTTTAAAGAATGAAGAGACCTTGACTCAAAACTTAATAAGCCGCAAGTTGAGACAATTAAAAAATTCTGGCGTTTTAAAAGTCTCATATTAAAGTTTCCAAGTCTTGACTCGAAACTTGAAAATCTCGACTCAACCCCAGAAAGTCTCAAATTAAGACTGACTCGCCAGACTGATTAAGAGATGAGACTGTCCAATAAGCTGAGGTAATCAAACAAACATTGCCTTTCAAGTTTTTAAAGTCTCAAATTGCAATTCTCAAAAGTGACAAGATCTTGATTCAAGACTGATAGTCTCAAATTGACACATATCGAAAACCTGCGCGTTTTGAATGTCTCAGGGTCATCCTATCCAGTCTCAATTTGAGACTAAAAGTCTCACAGTAAAGTCCGATATTTTAATGCATGCATGAGGAGATTTTTACTAGAACTGACCTTTTTCGAGGAGTGACGGTAGTACCGGTGTGGATGAAGCATACACACATAACGATCGATCGCCATGCAGACAAGTATGACGGCACTTTGTTGAGTGAGAGCACCACGCAATAGCGCCTGCAACATAAAAGCCACTGGAAAAAATATTGCAGCGTGGAAATGACCGAGGAGATCGCCAACTTTTAGCGTGCCTCTTCTTCAATGAATATCATCTGCGGCTCAATCGGTCTACGAGTCTATCAAAATTTTATAGCAGCCCTACTCCATCATCTCTCCGCCGATTTCACTGCGGAAAACATGTGCGACATTTTTCTCTTGTCCTTTTTTAATCCATAGAAAATTCTATAACTCAAGAACCAAATCATCAACTCCTGTACATAATTTCGGCTGTAAATGGTTATTTTTTTTATATAGAAAAAAAAAATAGAATTGTTTGCATTTGAATTATAGGTAATGGATTTGATAGAATTTTTAGAGTAATTGAAAGATTTGCTTATGAAATTGTTTAACGCATAATTAATTGGCGATTTGCGGAGTTCTCGGTGGAAAAATTTTTTATGCCACGAATATTCCCACGCCCTGCGATACATTTTGACCGCCTACGGTACTACCAACTAGACTCAATTAGCCTATTACCGATTAATTGATCGAGTCACATACATCTATACCCACGCTTGTATATAAAGTGAAGTCCCCCGATAAGTGACTTCGGTACACGGAGTCTAGCCAAATGTGAACGGCCCGGTCATTAATTTCGACGAATATCCCGGTAAAAAAAAATTGCAGTTGCCGCTGATTACAAATATATATTACCGTACATTTCAAACTAACATCAAGTATATCCAATTTTTAATTAGGTATTGACAATTATTGAATTTCATATTTTATTTCAGACTAAAGGAGTTCAGAGTTGATTTTGGAGGTTATGGTGACGTGTTTCGAGGACGCCATCACGAGGTGGCGCCCCATTATTCATTTTTAGTTTTACGCAAAATTTTGATTTATTAAACAGAAAAGACAGCGTAAATGATCTTTTACACGGATTTATATCACTCTGGAGAGAAATGCCGGTATAAATCTGCGGGGAAAAACATTCCCCGGTAACTTGAAAATTTTTCGGAACAGATGAAGGCAAAAACCCCACGGACACTTGTTCTTTATACCAGGAAGAAAGATTACATAAATGTATGTAAATGTGAGAATAGTACGATCACGGAAACCATATTTCAAGTGTAGTTCAAGGGCGTGTTCCATTTACCGTTTTCCACCGGATATCGGTTTAAAGGTCTCTTCTACTGTCCTCTCTAAACACGGATACGTTAGTCCATGTATGTCTGCAGAGAATTTATCCCGTGGATTATCAGAGATTTTTATTGGACAATCGCCAAAGCCTCGAGGGCCATGGCCGTTTCTCGGGTGCGGTTTAGCGCATATATATGGGAATTAATTTCAGGGATGAACGAGAAAAATAATGCATTTCGACGACACCAGGCGAAAACGTCTGAAACTTCAGGAACGGTTCTATGATTGAAGGCGGGGCAAAATGGCATTGATGTTTGTAAATTCCGAATTTGTTTTTCATTTTGTCAATCATCATTATCGATCATCATTAGGACGATCGATAATTTTTTAATTATTATATATTAATTATTCATTGGGGAAATCATTGTCACCTTGAGTTGATGACACATGAAATTAGTCCTGAAATCATGTGGAATCATGAGAAATCACGTGACATCTGTGCAGCCGCATGATTTTATATGAAATCACTTGAAGTCATGAGGTCCAGAGAAAAACTTAAAATCATTCGAAATCACTTTGAAATCATGTAGAATCAGTAATCATTGTGTCACGATATCGAATAATGAATAACTCATCGGACCCACGGTATGTCAATATTTTTTTGAGTCTTCAGTTTTTTCTCCGGATATATTGACATTAAATAATCTTAATAAATACCAGTACGGAAAAAATATATATCTACAAATATGTGTCAATTACATCCGGATACATGTCGCAAATGTCAAATTTTGATTTTCAAAAAAATCATGTTTCACCACAGGCCCAGGGAATCTATGATTTTTTTCTGTTAACTGATGAAAAAATTCCCTTTTCTAGATTCTAGGTTTCGCATACTGTATTTATACCTTTGCGTTTCGAAATGGATTTAACATGAGACATTGAATATGTTCCTGGCTGATTGAATCCGGAGATGGTACAGAACGTGCAAGACCTCCGTAATTTCGTGGCTTCATAGGAAATGCACGCAATGCCGCCTCGAGCAGTGAAAATATCCTTGTGCGCATTTCTCTGTACATCCGAGTCGATTTATCTCAATTATCACTCTCGTTATCGTATAGTTATCAGTTATTATTAACGTTACCTGAATTTGGCAGACAACTTCGCCGTAGGGCCAGCAGCCGTAGATAGCCGGGAGAAATCCAAAGGGTGTCACCAGTATTCCAATTGCGAGATCGTTGCTTGCGAGACTCGTTAGCAGATATTTTGGCTAAACATAAGATGAT